TTGGTCATTAGCGCCAACTAATAATACCCTGGAGAAGAATTTGTGACTTACGAGAGTGTTTGATGTCGCTTGATATATTCAAGTTTCCATGTCTTTTCTAAGCGTCTCAGCAAAAAGGCACGAGTTGATTTGGTTTCATACTCGGGACGGATGTCCAAGACGTTGGTGAACAACGCTAGTTTCCAAACTACGTCGTGACTCGTGTATTCTTTAAAGTATTTGTCGACCATTGAGAGCTGAATAAGGGATTGCGGGTCCAGATAGGACGTAATATGGCAGAGTGTTTCATATGGGAACGAGTGCAAGATGCTATCAGCTCGTCTTCCATCACGAACATCACCATGGAGGGTGTTTCGTAGTTGATCTGAGAGAAGTGAAGAGGAGACATGCTGGGCAGAGTACTGGCGGGACTTGGTTGCAACGGCTTGTTTATTCGATTTCTTGGTAGTCAATCGATTGGGGCTCTGTTGCATAAAACGGAGGGGGTAAAAAGAGCTTGAGAGGCTTTGCAGGTTCAGGATAACGATGCGGGATCAACGAGTTTGTCTAGTCGTTGTTCACGCAGATGATATCGACGGTTGAGTCACAAATTGTAAGCGGGTCCACCTGCTACCGATTCTTTGCCATATGCTCCACAGATGATTCAGAATAGGCGCCAAAGTAAAATGCTATTAAGAGAACAAGACTACAAAGAACCGATAATGAAGTGTTGCGAGTTTTGAACTATGCCGTGGTGTCATCAGTGTTTGGGACATGGTAACACTCCGTACAGTTCGAACGATAGATGCCTCAGAATTGGTCAAAGGTGGCCCAGGCGCTATCAAGATTATCTGTAGGATGGAGCAAATGGTTGCCAGCGTGGGTCGCTCTGTCGTCCACTGGAAGACCGGAATGCCCCCAACCAAAGGAAGTAAGATGTCCAAAAAGGGTAAAAGTATTATACCAAGGATGAGGCCTCGTAGTAAGCACTTTGCAGTTGCCCTTTGGGCCACAACGACTGACTTTATTGATAGCCAATGATTACCAGAAGGCTATTTTAGACTCCCAAGCCGAGCTAGAAATGACGAGCAAGCGTCCACGTCCTAGCGTTTCCAATGAACGTGAACAGCGCGTGGCCTTGGAGTCTTTAGGTCTGGACGAAGTTGCGGCTGTCGAGTACGCCCTAATGGTCAGTTACGAAGAGGCTTTACAAGCTGATGCAGAAAGAGATGCTTTTGAGGAAGTTACCTCAGTCGAAGATGACGACTCAGCGGCCACAGAGAGTGTTCTTTCGGCATCTGATTCACCGCCTAACACTGTGCGGTCGTCGAGGAGCAATCACTCTGTACGCGAGGAGTATATGCCATCTTCTCCATGGAAGTCGACTTCTATCACCCGTCTATCCCCACCTCATTCTACGGGAAAAGTTCAAGTCTCGCCACCATATCGACCAGAAGCTCTAATGGTTGGCCCATCATCGCCAGCCCAGTCCCCAATTGCCGAGTATATTCGCTCTTCGAATGTTTCACCGCATAATTCCAAGGCGAGTGGTGGTAGCGCTAGTGGGAGCGAGAAAAGTGTCCCTATACACAAAGAAGAATTTCCGCAAATCTCTTCAGCCGGGACCCCAAAAGGTCACTCAAGGCCATCTACAAGTCACAGCAAGACTCATTCACCGGGTCCGGACACTCTAGATTCCTCGACTTCCACCGTAAAGCCTCCTGTCCAGCCTCGCCCCAAGCCCGCGACAGCATGGAGTTCAATCGTCAAGTCCTCCACTCCCTCTCCGGCACTTTCTGGTTCTGCGTCTCCCAGTGTCTCCGCCAAGACAGGACCATGGGGACGACAGGTCTCTTCACAACCAGTACCCTCCAAAGGACAAGCGGTTAGATCCAGCTCGGCTCTCAGTGACGAAGAAGCTCAGTTGCAGTTTGTACTTGAGCTTAGTCTTGCAGAAGCTATGACTCGTGGAGAAACGTAAAACTCAAAAAACACAGAACCCGCCCTAGAAAAGTTTCCACTAGAACAAGCGATTCGACTCTTGCTATTTATCATCCCCTTCATCTATGATTCACCTATCCTGTTATTTAACTGGTCTCATCTTTCTATACAGACCCTATTTTTCCTTCTAAATGGCAACCTAAGCTGTCTCTCGATGATTCATCTTCAAGATGCCCAGCCTCACCAGCCACCTCCTTTGTAAGTCGAGAATATCCTTTTTCTGACGCATAAACCCAGTACAAGCTATACCATAACAGTGCTAGCATCTTTGGAATTTCGGGTTTTCTTTATTAGAGGCCGGCGCCACGGCGCTACGACGATCCCAGAGAAGATGTCCGGGTTTTCTCTTATTCTTGATACAATATTTTCGGATTAATTTGCACAATGGAAATTAATTAATGTTTCATAT